ACCTTTTAGGTTCACAATTAATACTAGTAGTGGGTTTACAACTCTTTGTAATTTGAGTTATTCATATTAACTCTTATTCTTGAATTAACTCTTTAATTCAAGAACCCACAAATCATGGGAACATCTAGCAAGTAGCATGAATCTAGTATTAAGTGAATAGCGAGTAAACCTATTTCGATTACAAGTCCATACATGTAAAATCCTTTGGACATCCAATTTCCCGATTAAATCTTTGGGTATGATTTTGTCGAAACCTAAATTGATTTAATAACTATGATTCCATTTCAAGTTTAGTAATTCATTTATGAATCTTTATTCATCCTGCCTTGGCCAAGGACTTTGAACTACTAACTATGAAACACATAAGAAATTCACTTATCTTCATAAGTATCGAATCCTTTCTTGGCCACTGACAAACTTCTATACATATTAATATAATACCCAAAATATCCCTTTATACGATTGTGCTAGCAATCAAAGGATAAATCAAAGTAAAATATAATATGCACAAAGTTACCATCGTGCCTCAAGTCTAAGGATTAATCATGTACTATTGTAACATAAAAATTCTTATTCGACATGATAAACTTTCATTAAGAATTTTCATACGGTCATGTTCAGTGAACTTGTTCTCTAACAAGCACCCACATATATGTATTTGTGTCCCGCGCTAATGTTGATGGAATGCAACATTCTTATCTAATAAGCATACATACTATGTGCAAGTCTTTTCCGGATTTATTCGATATCCCATCTCGAAACATCCAACGACTTGGAACTGTATTTAAGATCACAGCTTTCAAGATATGTTCCATGATCACCATCTCTATGCGCAACCATATCTTATAGCTATAAGTGATCTAGAGACTTTATCTTAAGTGCAAATATATGATAAATGCTTACTCTTAAAATAAAGTAATGCCTTTTAATTATTTATATTCCAATAGATTGTATTTACAAGTAGAATACGTCCAATCCGATTGGAATGCCGGGTATCCTACTCTAACAATCTCCCACTTGCCCTAGTTCCAATCACTCATGTATCTTAGACCCATCTTCTCAAAATGTCCTTCGAACACTTTCTGTGATAAAGGCTTAATTAAGGGGTCTGTTATATTTTCTGTTGAGTCGACTCGCTTCATTACAACGTCGCCTCTACCAATGATTTCTCTAATCAAATAGTATCGTTTCATAATGTGTTTGGATCTTTTGTGAGATCTTGGCTCCTGCTTGCGCAATAGCCCCATTGTTATCACAATAAATCATTATTGGATCAACAACAGATGGTACTACACCCAACCCTTGGATGAAGTTCCTTATCCAAACAACTTCCTTTGCAGCATCAGATGCAACAATATACTCAGCCTCTGTTGTAGAGTCAACAATCGTTTCTTGTTTGGAACTTTTCCAACTAACTGCTGCTCCATTCAGAGTAAACAAATATCCAGACATGGATTTATAGTCGTCTTTATCGGACTGAAAACCAGAATCAGTAAAACCTTCTAGTTTCAATTCTCCATTGCCGTATACCATAAAGATATCCTTAGTCCTTCGTAAGTACTTAAGAATCATCTTAACGGCTTTTTAGTGTTCTTCACCTGGATTAGACTGATATCTGCTCGTTACACTAAGTGCATGAGCAACATCAGGTCTTGTACATAACATTGCATACATAATGCTACCAATAGCTGATGCATAAGGTATATGATTCATCCGTTCTCTTTCTTCAGGTGTCTTTGAAGACACGTTTTAGAAAGTGAAACCCCATGACTCATTGGAATATATCCACGTTTGGATTCTTCCATACTAAACCTTTTTAGTACCTTATTTATGTACGTAGACTGGGATAGTCCGATCATACTTTTAAATCTATCTCTATATATTTTTATCCCTAGGATAAAAGATGCTTCTCCCAAATCTTTCATGGAGAACTGTTTAGACAACCATGTCCGTGTTGATTGTAACATTCCTATATCATTCCCAATGAGTAGGATGTCATCAACATATAAACAACAAATGCAACTGCATTCCCACTAACCTTCTTATAAACACATGGTTCATCCGGATTCTGATGAAAATCAAACGTTTTGATCGTTTCATCAAACCGAATGTTCCAACTCCTCGAAGCTTGTTTAAGTCCATAAATGGACCTTTGAAGCTTACAAACCATTTGCTCGCTCCCACTGGATATGAAACCCTACGGCTGTTTCATATAAATGTCTCCCTTAACGTTTCTATTAAGAAAAGAAGTTTTCACATCCATTTTCCATATTTTGTAGTCATAATACGCAGCTATGGCTAGCAATATCCGAATAGATTTAAGCATTGCTACTGGTGAAAAAGTTTCCTCATAATCAACACCTTGTTTTTGAGTATAACCTTTAGCAACCAGTCTTTCTTTAAAAGTATTTACTTCTCCATCTCCACCATGTTTTCGTTTGTAAACCCATTTACAACCTATGGGTACAATACCCTGTGGTGGTTCAACCAAAGTCCATACTTTGTTTGAATACATGGAATCTATCTCAGATTGCATAGCTTCTTGCCATTTATCTGAGTCAATGTCCGACATTGCCTCATCATAGCTTATTGGATCATTGTCCAAAAGAAGTCCCTCTTCATTGTTCTCTAACAATAGGTATAACCTCTCAGGCGCCCTAGAAACCCTTTTAGATGTCCGAAGAGGTTGTGTTATAGATGGTCCAGTCTCTACTGGTATATCATTTGTGGTATTTTATGGAATTTCTTGTGGTACTTCATTAAGTTCTATGACTCCGCTACTCTTTGAGAGAAACTCTTCCTCTAAGAAAACAGCATTCCTCGAAACAAACATCTTTTATTCAGAAGGGTCATAGAAATAGTATCCAGTAGACTCTTTTGGATACCCCACAAATTTACATAAGATGGATCTCATATCCAACTTACCTCCCACTAACTGTTCCACATAAGCAGTACAACCCCATACTTTTAAATACTTGTACGAGGGTGTTTTGCCACACCATATCTCATAAGGTGTGCTGGGTACAACTTTACTTGACACTCTATTCAAAAT